TATATATATATATATATATATATATATATATATAAAGGTGTGTATGTGATGAACCAAAACTCAATACTTAATGGATTGATGTTAATCGGCATGACTCGTGGGCTTTTCTGAGCCCACGGAACACAGACTCAAAAATCTATAATAAAAAAAAATTGGAATTCATACTCATGTGTTGGTCCTTTTAGAACATGGCAATGAAGTGAGATGAGATTTCATATATTTGTCCTTGTAGATCCACTTCAATTCCGTCTCTTTAAATTTAGAAAATTGTTAACATATTATATTTTTTATTTTTATAAAATGTTAGACGTAGATTTAAAAACTTAATATAAGGTTTGTTAGATATAAAATAACAAGAAATTGTTAACTCTCGAGCCCATGCATTGCACCTCCTTCTCATTGGGACCTCGGTGGATTTTACTTTTTCTTTAGTAGTTGAGTTCAGGAAACTTACAGCGTGTTTTAACGTTTCAACATTGTTCAATCAGTCATTTTGTTAGAAACATAAAAGAAAGTGAGTGAGAGAATGGGTTTACCTCTAGTACTGAACGTAAAAACAAATACAATTTTCCTTTTTTGTCTTCATTCATTTTTAGCTAGAATTTAAACATAGATAAAGTAGGAAAGGACTTGGCGGGCACCCACGTGTAAATAATTATGGTTCTGTCCTGTCGCAATCCCCTGTGAAGTCGATAATTAGGTGAAGGCTTGCCAAACATTTATAGGACTATCACTACCCATAGGGTTTTAAGCATAACCATGAGTTAGCGACACACGTTACTCTTTGTGCTTGTGCTTTTACTAAGAGCATCTCCGAGCAACTCATTTGAGTTGTTTCATGCATTGAAAAATGAGAAAAATGCTCTCTAGTATGTCATGTTAGTATTAAGTAATTCAAACACAAATTTACTCTAATAGTAAGAAATTTTAAGAAATTTAACTTTTAGAATTTTTTTCTAATCATTTATGAACTAATTTTAATTTTTTTATTAAAAAGAGTAATTGCACTACAATAAAAGAAAATAAATTATGAGAAAAAATACACAATAAGTAGATATTAAAAATAAAATAAAGCAATAGTAAATACATAAATATTATACAAAATTAATTTTCATCATTATTATTTATGAAATGTTCCTAAATATGTTCAATAAGATCTGCTTGAAATCTAGTAAGGAACGGTTGCTTGAGGAAGCAACTCTCTCTCTTCTTCAAGCAACTCATGTTGCCACGTCAGAGTTCTTCAATGGTAAGAAATCGAGACTTAAGTTGCTTCATGGGACAAACAACTCCCATTGGAGTTGCTCTAAGTCTCTAAACTTTTTAGAATTAAAATAAATTTAATTTTCTCTTTCAACTTATCACTCTTAAAATATTATTTTCTTTATTTTAATAACTAATAATTTATTACATATTTGTCAAATGAAATAATATTAAAAAAAACATGTCTAAAGAAGCAAATAATTAATCATTATAATTGGTATAATTTGAATTCAAAGGATAAACAATGATTAAAGTTCTAATTTGATCACTGAAAATGGTAAAAGTGATTAATAAATTTTTGAAAAAAAATTTGTGGTATCTAAATTTCTAAATTTTAATTTTGTTATATAAGTTAGTTATTTTGTTATATTTAATTATTATTATTAACTTTATTAATTTTTTAGACAATTAGCAATTAAGTATTAGATTGGCACTTATTCTCTCTGAGTTAGTTGTGCTCTTACTCTTAATCACTTAATTAATATAGATTATAATGCAAAATTTTGATACTTTCCAATCAACAATAAATACTTTGTTATTTTTAAATATTTTGATATACTTTTGTTAAGATGGAAGGTTGTTTTAGATAAATTTATTTTTGGTCCCTCAAATTTAAAATTATTGTTTTTAGTCTTGAAATTTTCAAAAATCTTATTTTAGTCCCTTAAATCCCCAATAATATATCTGAAAGTGACAAATTAAGATGGTTAAATAATATCAATTGAATTTAATATGATATTTTCACTAATAGGAATATTAGTAGACAGATTTTTTACAATAATATTTTATAAATTTTTTAACAAAATTTGAATATAAAGACTAAAATAAGATATTTTAAAATTATAGGGACTAAAAATAACAATTTTAAATTTGAGGGACAAAAACAAATTTATTCTAAATTTAAAAGACAAAATATATTTAAGTCAAAAATTATTTTGTATACATGTATTGCTGTGAGGTAGCTCATAAATTTTCCTGTCTTCCTTGTTATTATATTAAGAATATTCTATCATGATCAACAATTAATGTTAAGGTATATATTTAGAAAAATATTTGAATTAATTAATTAATTAATGATTCTCCATTTTGTAAAAGTTGTGTCACAATAATTCAATTATTGAATTTATTAAGATAGTGTAAAGAAAAGAGTTTATAAGAGTCACGTGTCTTTGTAATGTAAAACAAACAATTGACTTTAAGGCTTCTTAATTAGTTTGAGAGGGAAAAGGAAAAGTGAATAATGAGAATTTATTTTGAATTTTTTCATGAAAAGAAAGTTAAATAATAAAATAAAATTGTTTTTTAAACTCATTTTTCTTTCTATTTTTTTTTATCCAAATGAAAATATACATTATTATACTTGAAATAAATAATATATGTACTAAAATGTTAAAAAAATTATACTATTAAGTATCAACCAATTAAAGTTTGTAATGTATAACAATATATAAAGGGATACTCTCTTTTGATGTCATTTATTTAATAAAAAATAATTATATCTTTATATTATATTTTAATTTCTTTCTCACTAATAGTTATTTAAAAATAAAATAGGAAGAAAATGTACATATAAAAATAACTACCTTTTTAAAAAAAATAATAATAACTACCACTTATTTAAAAAAAACATTTTTTCATGGAGGTAGGGAGTGTTTTTATTCCTATTAGTGTATGCTAATTTTTTTTTATTTTTACGATAATTATTTAAAAATAATCATTAATATATTTTTTGATTAATTGAAAATATAAAATAAAAATTTACACTATGAGTACATACTATTTTGATTCTCCTCTTTATTTCTTTTCATTTCGTCCAAATATATAAGATAAGCAATGAATTGCAAATATATATATCTGCAGTACAAGAAGATTGAGTGTCGGTGGTCTCTAAATTTAAGTCATGGTGGGTGGCTACTATGTAAATTCAATTCACTTGAGCCTTTCTTCTCCAAATTAATCACATTTCTCATGTTACACAGGACAGGATTGGTGTTTTAGATTTTACGATTTGCATCACCCAGTATATATATATATATATATATATACATATATATATATATATATCTGAAAAATTACGCTTACCTCTTATTTTTATCATTTTCAAAAGTTTTATGTGTGTATTTTTTTCCTTGTCTCTACTCTCAAAGTGAGCAGTATCACTTATGTTTGTTCTTTTTGTCTATAAATATTTATATATATATATATATATATATATATGTTATTAATAATTGATTTCAGGTGAAAATAATTTTGAACTAAAGAAAAAATAACCTCAAATTTTACCTAATTTTGAGATTTGTACATAGAATGCATGCTACTTCCCTCTGGTTCTCGATTTGAATGGGAGAATACCTGTAATAAAGAAAAGACAACCTCAAATTTCTAAATTAATATAAGAAATATAATTTTGTGTATAAAAAAATATCTTTTAAATACGAACTGATAAGAATTAATAATTATGTTCGGATTATAAACTAAAATTATTGTATATATGTGTATTTTAAATCACCGCCATATATTAAAAAAAAATATTTTAATACTCCATGTTTTTCTTTTGTCTTTTATTCAAAAAGAAATATATTCATCAAAATATGTATAGTAATAAGAGTTAATAACTTATACACCGACAATTTTTTACACTGACAACTAATTATATCTCTTAATTGTACTATGTCATTGTAAACACATTTATTTGTGACATGACATAATTAAAAGATATAATTAATTATTAATATAAAAAAACTTTACACTAGCAGTGTATAAATGATTATGTCCGGTAACAATATCATGCATGATTCGACTTTATACATATCATCTAAACTTTTATAATTAAGTGAGTTCACTTGTTTTAGTCCTAACACAAGAATTAAAAATAAAAGGTGTTATATTTGTAGCTGATCAATAAAAATAACGCATGATTTTTAGCTGTAAATCCACGGCACGAACCAATTTAAAACAGATGATCTCATGATCATATGACGACAACATCAATAATTTGATTGTGATTCTTTGAGTGAGAGTGTGAGAGAAATTACAGACAGCATGTGAGATCCGAAGAAAAGCTCACACTAACTCATTTATGTCATCATTCATCTAAACCAACCACCCTATTTATCCTTAATACTTCACGTACCCCACTTCACACTTGCCACCTCTTCTTCTTCTTTCTCTGTACCATAGCTAGCCATGTATAACCCCCTCAGTAGAAGAACACCACCACCACCAACCATGCTATTCCACGTACCCATTCTCTTTCTCCTCCTTTGTTCCTTCACCGCAAACGCAACAACAACAGCAACAACCACTCCCCTCCATCTCCAAGTAGCTAACTCCACATGCGAAGGCACACTCTACCCTCACCTCTGCGTCTCAACCCTTTCCTCCTTCCCCGACCTCACCTCAAAAACCCTCCCACAGACCATATGCACCCTCGTCAACCACACCATCTCCGAAGTCACACACTCCTCCTCCAACTGCACCGACCTCCGCAAGCACCTCCCAGCCCTCACCACCCTCGAACGCCGAGCCCTCGACGACTGCCTCTCCCTCTTCGACGGCACCGTCTCTGAGCTCCGAACCACCGTCGCCGACCTCTCCCAAGCCGCCATAGGCTCCAAGCTCTACCACGACTCCCAGACTCTCCTCAGCGCCGCCATGACCAACCTCTACACGTGCCTCGACGGCTTCGCCTACAGCAAAGGGAACGTGAGGGACAGGATTCAGGAGGGTTTGTTCCAGATCTCGCACCACGTCAGTAACTCCCTCGCAATGCTGAAGAAAGTGCCCGGAGTGTCGTCGCCGAATGAGGCGTTCCCTGAATACGGTGAGGCGAAAAAGGGGTTCCCGTCGTGGCTGTCACGCAAAGACCGGAAGCTGCTTCAGGCTGCTGTCAATGAAACCAACTTCGATCTTGTTGTGGCAAAAGATGGCACTGGAAACTTCACCACCATAGGAGAAGCACTTGCTGCGGCTCCAAACTCCACCACAACTAGGCAAGTGCTACTGCCACCTTATCCTGATATCCATAATCACATGCATGTCACATTCATTAATATGTTTTCATTTTTCACATATATCGAGAAAAACCCAACTCACCTAAATATATCATTAAAAACTGTTCACTCGCCATTAATTTACTACTTAGGTAAGATATGTTGTATTAAAAAAAAAGTCTCATGTCACTTAAAGTTAAGATAAACAAAGATTTTATAAGTGAAAGTAATGCTGATTTTATAAATTGAGTTAGATTTACATTTACTTTCTAAAAAGTTTCCTAGCATTTTTGTTTATACTAATAAATTTTGGGATTTATAATAAATTTAATCTATTTTTTAATGTATTATCATCACTTAAAAAATTATACTATTGATCAATTCAAAATCACAATAAATATGAATTTTAAAATACTTATTATAATAAATTTATCGTATATGATAATTTATAATTAGATAATTTTATTATATACTAATATATAAACTCTTAGTATATATTAGTGGTCAGGAGAAGAGGTTGAAATAATAAAAATACAAGAATTTAGGTTTGATTCCTATATATTGTGATTATTTTTATAATTTTCTTATCATTAAAAAAATCATTTACTCTTTAATTTTTACATTATAATTTTATTAGGAAGGTCTTTTAAGTTTTCATTCAACTGAAATTGTGGTGTATAATAATTAAGTTTGAGAAATATTTATACTTAACCATGCATGATGTTAAATTATTGACATTGTGTGGTAAATATTGTGAGTATAGATTTGTGATATACATAAAAGCCGGGGCATACTTCGAGAATGTGGAGGTGATAAGGAAGAAAACCAATCTCATGTGGGTTGGAGATGGAATTGGAAAGACAGTGGTGAAGGCCAGTAGGAATGTTGTGGACGGCTGGACCACTTTCCAATCAGCCACTGTCGGTGCGTTTAACTCTAACTTTCTTACTATATGTTGCTTCTGCTATTTTTATTCAGCGAGTTTTAATGTTTGATGGAGTGTTCATTATTGAAAATTAAGGTTATATAAAAAAGAAAACATGAAAACGAAAGAACAGACGGAATTGGCTTAATTAATGTTTATTGAATTTAAAGCCAATAAAGAGAGGTAAATTAACCAGTGAATCAGACTTGGAGTACTGATGTTGCAAAAAAAAATAAAATAAATTACTATTTTAAATTATTAGAATTATTATTAGTAAAACAGACATGCACTCGCGTTATTTGTGTTTTGTCAAATCCAGGCACCAAAGGCTTTTCAGAGTAAAGTAGGAAACATAGATCTGCATTTTCTGATGCTCATGCAGTAACTTATATTCGCATATCACCATCACGGGCCAGTGTCGGTTGTCTGACAAGAAAAATGGCTTACTTGTGCCTAGTTGTGCATAGATCATTGGCATTTTAAAATGAAAAATACTTTTTTTTTTCTTGTCTCGTACAGAACTTAGATTTGAACGTGAGAACTTAGAATATAACTAATTCACAAAGTTATAATTAAAATCTTTAAGTACTACTTGCTCATGATTGAACTGAAAGACGATGGATCTGTATGAGTCCATATATATATACTACCCACTTTATACCAAAGCTCGATTTTCAGCTGTATCCACAAATTTTCCCTACTAATCAGACAAGTAAGACGTATAGAGATCCATTCAAGACCCACCAAAGAAAATGATAGTATATAGAAGACACAAAATTAATATCGGGCAGCTCTTAGTCAACCGATTCACTTTTGAAAGGCATAACATTATATTGCTTTGTTTAAGCAGAAGGCTGGGTATGCGGACCGGTCCGGTCCGTTTAAGGCCCGGTCCGCGAAGTCCGCATTTTTAACGGGCCGGATAAATCTGGTCTGCGAAATAAATGACTTAAATTTTCAAGTCCGTATCCGGCCCGTGAAGCCCGCGGATAAACGGATAAGTCCGCGGGCCCAATTAAATCTAAATTGTTTAAATGAATATTGACTCAGATTTTAAATTTCTTTTCCTTTATTTAACCTATGAAAACATGAGGAAAAAAAAACATATAAAATGATATAAATATACTTCTAATAATAACATCAAACATTGTAAATAATAAATCAAAGTCTTAAATAACAAAGTTTACACATTCTAAATTTCTAATAGAAATATTTAAGTCTCAATGCCTTTAAAATTTAAAGTCCAAGCATACTAACTATTAACCAAATATTAAAGCCTTACTACCTTAAAACTTGAAAAGTCTTAATACACAACCAAACAAATATAAAACATTTGTAAGTCCAAGTACATCAAAGTCTAAATACCTTAAAACATCAAAGTCTCAATTAATATCTTAAAAATAAACATAAAATATTTGAAAGTCAAATTACATCTATCAAATATAATCAAGCATCTTCAATAATAAAATTTGAGTCCACATTTAAACGGGTAATCCGCGGGCTCGCGGATTAAATTCGCAAAATCCGCGGACTAAACGGACCGGACCTAAAAAGTCCGTATAATTATACGGATTAAAAAAAATGAGCCCGTTATCCGTGAAATCCGCGGACTTACGAACCGGTCCCCGGACTCAAGTCCATATACCCACCCCTAAGCAGAACACATATTAGATCTGACCTCAGTAGATTAAGGCTGAGATTAATATATCAACAATCTTTTTTCCTGAGACTAATATATCATAATAATTTGGAAAAGACTATATGTCTATCAGTCTATATAACAATTTTGTTTTGAAATCAAAGACTAACCGATGGAATTTACAGGGTGGACAGCACCAAAAAGAGCAATCGCTATGAATCAATTATTAGATATATTGGATAAGAATTTTGTCTTATATTAATGTGCTTTTCCCATCAAGGATAACATATTGCAAAACCAAAAATCTCGCGTCCTACTTGGCATGACACCTTGGTCTACATATATTTCAGCATTATTATACTTAAGGTTGCTGCCGATAACACCGGCTATAAACACTTACCTAGTTACCTTAAACTTTGCATTATTAACTTTTTTTTCTCAAAAAAAAAAAAAAATGAGCGTAATCTCTTGAGTTGGCTGACAGGAGTCCACATTAATCCAACCCAACTAAAGCGGACCTCCTGTTTTTCTTAATTGCAATTTTTGCATCAATGTTTCACAATTTGTGAATTTTACTACTTAATTTTTAAAAAAAATTACATATTTTGTCATCTAAATTTTAAAATTTTGCATATTTTATTATTCTGTTAGTTGATGGTCTAACAGGTGAATGAAACTTATACATGTGTTTCAGCTGTGGTTGGAGAGGGATTCATAGCAAAGGGCGTAACCTTTGAGAACTCAGCAGGGCCCAGCAAGCACCAAGCCGTGGCCCTAAGGAGCGGGGCTGACTTATCAGTCTTCTACCAATGCAGCTTCGTTGCATACCAAGACACTCTCTACGTCCACTCTCTGCGACAATTCTACCGCGAATGCGACGTTTACGGCACCGTAGACTTCATCTTTGGCAACGCCGCAGTGGTGTTCCAGAACTGCAACTTGTACGCACGCAAGCCTAACGAAAACCAAAAGAACCTCTTCACCGCACAGGGCAGAGAAGACCCTAACCAAAACACCGGCATTTCCATCATCAACTGCAAGGTTGCAGCTGCTGCAGATTTGATCCCAGTGAAAAGCTCGTTCAAGAACTACCTGGGTCGGCCTTGGAAAAAGTATTCCAGAACTGTTTATCTAAATTCTTATATGGAGGATCTTATAGACCCTGCAGGGTGGTTAGAGTGGAATGGCACGTTTGCATTGGATACCTTGTATTATGGGGAGTATAATAATCGAGGTCCGGGTTCCAATACAAGTGCTAGAGTTACTTGGCCTGGTTATAGGGTCATCACTAACTCCACTGAGGCTAGCCAGTTCACAGTTCAAAATTTCATTCAAGGCAATGAATGGTTGAACTCCACCGCTGTTCCCTTCTTCTCTGGTTTTAGTTGATTATTGCATGCGGATTGCTGACCAATGCTCTTTCCGTATCCCCTTATTTAATAAAGTGTATAATGTCTGAAGTGAAATGGAAAGAATATTAATCTTCTTTTGTTCCTTGCTACAAAAAAGCAAGAATTTAAAATAAAAAAGTGTTTTGTAGCATATCGTATAATTAGTACGATAATGTTTGTTTGCTCATAACTATTATGCATGGCAATGCAAATTTAGAAAATCCTGTCTTCTTGCTACATGGGAGATTGAAAGACCAAACTTGTAGAATCGAAATTAACATAGATAGAGATCCTATATATGGAAGAGCATATATTAATTAGTTATCTCTTAAATCAATCTTAATACCTTAAATGGATCTTAATAGAATCTAACATTAGACAAGAAGATACCTAGATTCAAAAAAAAAAAAAAGCAGAGGTCAACGAGTAACTAATAAAATACTACTATAAGCAAGAACAAATGTACCTCATTAAGAATTAAACTCAAAATCAAGCATGTGAGAAAATGCCGTTGACCAAAACCTCTTTGAGAAACACTGAAAATAAATGAATAAACAAAGGGGGGGAAATTCCACCATATAGGGCGGGGTAATTTCTCTCTGTTGTTGAGCCATAAAATGCAGACTTGAGGAAGAGGAAACTGTTGAACATCTACTGCTATATTTTCCATACATACATTTCCTTCATCGTCGACGGCCCAATGAGAATAATTCAGTTTTTCAGACATATCTTGAACAGTTCAGCTCGTTTGTGCTATATCTCAGAATCGTGACATCCTAGAATTAATATTTATGGTCTTGACATCTCCGTTAACCAAAAAATACAGACTAATTAGTAAAAAATAAGAAAGTTTAGTAAAAATAAATAAGTTTTTAATAAATTAATCATGATTTCTATATATGAAATTCTCAGTTATTTGTCTCAATTTTAAAGTTTCAACCGAATGATTACATTTTTAAATTAATTTCAAATTATATGTTCCACTAAATAACAAATATTTAGCTTCAATGTTGTGGAATAATTAAGTTGACTGGATTGAAACATTTCACATAAAAAAGAACAAACGAAAAAATTGTTACATATAGAAAACTTATTGGGCTAAAGGCTTCTATCAACTTTGATATACCAAATGAGGCCAACACTCTAAAGTTCAAAGTGTCACTGTTGATTAAATGGCTCATTTAATATTGTTCAGCAACCAACCGGAGATCACGGGATGTAAATGAAACCTGAGTAGTATAAGTAATGGCGTAGAGTTATTATAATAAGCAACACAAACATTGAACCATTTATGTTAACAAATGTTTGATTTAATCGTATTTGCATTTTTGAGTTGCCCTTCGTCAGAGGATTTTGGTTGAAGCACGTGGAATGTTATGAAATAGTGTTAGTCTCAATTATGGTATTCATGGAATGTTTGTGTCCTGTGAAAGATCTTTTGTGGCCTTGCCCATGAAAATGCCTTCAATCAAGAATAGTGTGAGGGATAAAACCAAGAGCCGAAAGTTCTTTAGCTTATCCACATATATACATAAGTTCCATATCTATTATGCATGGGCCTTTTTTTATTTAATTGTGTATGGGCCTTTATGATGGTTCTTCGACGGTTTAATGAAATAACTGAACTTGAAAGGATATATATTTGTTCTCCATGCTTGTGTTGATCACCTTTCTCCGACAGTTTTTCCGTGTTCGAGCACCGTGCACTTGTTTTTTTGTTCACTGACAAGTCACAGACAGTTAGTTTGCATGAGTCGTGGGTAAAAACTAAAAAGTTGTCTCGGCAACCGCAACAGAACATAAACCGGAGCTCTGGTTAGATCCATTGCGCAAGTACAGTACAAATTTAAACAAACAATTAAATGTCTTTGCTATCTTGCACTGTTTATTGAACAGTAACCAACAGTGCCTCCCAGGGTGACATTTCCTTTTCTCTTAGCGGCAACGATTTCGGGTTTAACCCCACATGGGATGGTCATTTTCTAATCTAAATTTATATATATATATATATATAAAAAAAACCAATAATTCAACACAAATACAGTTGCTAGATAGTTTTTTTTTTTTAAAAGGATGTTGATCCAAGTTTGATTTTCTGATTATGAGAAAGAAAAAAAATTTAATGAAAGATATGAAATTCATTTTGGTAAATCTTATGTCTCAAAAGAAGTCAAAACATATATATTCTCGAAGTCAAAACATATATATTCTCGATGTGAAAAAGTTAGTTGAACGTGTATCATGAAAAAAAACAAAAAAAAAATTAAGTGGTAAAAGTAATAAAATTAAGTGTTAACAACTAAAAAAAAAAAACTTGTGAGACTCGTAAAAAATAATCCCCATAAACAGAGGGAAGGGAGTCAACTTTTTTTTATTCATTTTTCAAAAATAAATAACTTTTATAACGAAAATAATAATGTGTGTAAAACTTATATTAAGAAAAAATATATAATTAAAAGTAATAATTTTTTTACTTTATTTTTCCTTCATCCCTAGCATTTTTTTTTCTTTTCATTTTATTCTGTTCTTTCGTGTCTCCCTCCTCATTTAAATGAAGTAAATTATCAATATCCTGTAAGAATTAGTACTGTCTGAAAATAAAACTAGCATGCTCGTGGAAAAAGAAACAAACTTACTGTTTTAAGTTTTCAAGATATATTCTTTAAAAGATGTATATAACATTAAATTTTAACACTTTTTCTTGTTTTTTTTTATGATAACAGTAACTAGATTTGAATTCAGGACCTCATGCAATTTGTTTAGTAATAACTATGAAAGAAATGATAATTATATGGAAGAAATGATCACAAAATAGACAATAATTACAAGAAAAATATAAAATTACAAAACAATTTTTTTTAATAATTTAAATAAAATTTATTATTCAATTATTTACTAGTAAATAATATGATAAACTTGTTTACCATAACTAATATCTAAATTAACTATAGTAACATTTTTTCGATATTAAAAGAAAACAGAAAAAAGCAAACGAAAGGTAAACGACAATTACAATAGGGGAATGCAACCCCAACACTATCATAGGCATGTTTAATTGTAGAGGATTTTGATCTTTCATAGATCAAAGGTTGTTCCAAGCTTCGCTAACATGTTTGCACATTGATTACCTTCACATAAGGTGTGAATGAGTTTGTCATGCCAGGATTTTGCGAATAAATCTTTAACACTTTCTTTTTGTAGCCGAGTTAATTTGCTATTAAATTCTCATTTAGTGCTTTTTTTATGCCAAAAATAAGAATTTTATGGTGACATTTATTGGAAGCTAGTTTTAAGTAATTGACAGAATTATGGTACAAGCATTTTGTGTGTGAGAGACAGAGAGAGAAAGACATTACAAAATGTACGTGTGGGATTATCACTATAGAAAATTGTTGAAGTTATTGTCTATGAAGATCTGTGTAAAAGGTTGGATCTTAAAAATTTTGGACAAGATTTCAGGTACACTAATCATATACTACAAATTCTTTTAGAGCATTCGTATTTTGCGATGTGATGACATTGAGTTTGTTATTAAAAAAATTAACAAGTAGAGTGCGTGAATATAAATCCAAGTGTAGCCACGCTAATAATTTGTACTACTAAAACCCTGTTAAATTGCTAATTACTTATATTCGTTTGATAACACCGAATAATATTTTATGTCTACAAGTTTTATTTTAAACAAATCCAAATAATGATATTGAGTATAATTTAACCCGAAACCCTGGAGGAACCGTATTTTTTTAGTGTTTATAATTAAAAATATTTCATTTTAATCTTTATATATATTATTTTTGTTTATTTTTATTTCATATAATTATAAAAGTTTTACCTTTTAATTCCTAAAAAAAATAGACAATGACTAAAAAGAGATAAGAAAATGTTATGCAAAAGATAAAAAAAAATATATATATATATATATATTTTTTTAATAATATAAAATTTACAAAATTATTTGACAAAAGATGAATTAAAACTATAATTAATATTAATCCATATATGTTTGGCATTGTTCCGGATTTTCCTTTAAGCATAGTTTCTTAAAATGGACATTTGATAACGGGCTTATTAATTACCTGCTACTGCGGGTTTGCACAGAGAAGTAGTTATGTGGAAATCTAAATAACTTGTGAGTTTAGAAGAAAGATATCGAAAATGGTGGTGTTGTAGCAGTAGGATGTGGTCCTAATTATTGTTGTATTGTAACGAAGCAAGAAGGACGTTGCCTTTTATAAATACTTGTTGTATTGTTGTATTCACTATTCACACCATTGCAGTCGTTGGGCAGTTCAACATGACTTTTTCCCTCTTCTGTTGTCTCCTTTTCCTTCTTTCTGTGTTTTCTACCTCTCTTTGTGATTCCCTCCACCACCCTCACTTTGCCACTCACAACTACAGAGATGCTCTCACCAAATCCATTATCTTCTTTGAGGGCCAGAGATCAGGGAAGCTCCCTTCCAACCAGAGATTGTCTTGGAGGAGTCACTCTGGTCTCTCTGATGGCTCGGCCATGCATGTATAGTAACATTAACACCACATTCTTAGTCTTCTTTTGCTTGTGCAGTGTACCTTTGCTTATCTCGGCTTAAATGTACAATGCAGGTTGATTTGGTTGGAGGGTACTACGATGCTGGAGACAATGTCAAGTTTGGTTTTCCCATGGCCTTCACCACCACCATGCTTTCGTGGAGTGTTGTTGAGTTTGGTGGGGTCATGAAGGGTGAGTTGCAGAATACAAGAGAGGCCATTCGTTGGGCCACAAATTATCTTCTCAAAGCCACTGCACATCCAGACACCATTTATGTTCAGGTTACTCTTCTCTTCCTAGTAGTTACATTTTTTCTGTCATTCTTGTGTTATGTTAAAAGACATATTACTACGGAGGTGTTATTAATGGGTGCGTGTTTTTGCAGGTGGGAGATGCAGTGAAGGACCACGCTTGTTGGGAGAGACCTGAGGACATGGACACCCCAAGAAGTGTCTTTAAAGTAGATAAAAACAACCCTGGTTCAGATGTGGCTGCAGAAACTGCTGCGGCTCTTGCAGCTGCTTCTCTTGTTTTCAAAAAAACCGACCCCACCTACTCCAAAACTTTGGTTAGGAGGGCTATCCGTGTAAGTGTTTCATTTCAGATGGAGCAACGTTCTGAATGTTAAGGGAGAGCACAACTTAATGCTTAAAATCTGATACTGTACGTTTTTATGGATGTAGGTTTTCCAGTTTGCTGATAAATACAGAGGGCCCTACAGCAATGGCTTGAAGCCCATTGTGTGCCCCTTCTATTGCTCCTACTCTGGTTATCAGGTAAAGTTTTAATATTTAAATGGGTAGCAAAGTTCTGATGCATTTTGTGGGAGGTGAAGTAAAGTAAGAATTTTTCCTTAATGGTTCCTTGGAAATATGTCAGGATGAACTGTTGTGGGGTGCTGTTTGGCTTCACAAGGCTACTAAGAACCCAATGTACCTAAACTACATTAATGTAAATGGACAAACCCTTGGGGCTGCAGATTCTGACAATATCTTTGGATGGGATAACAAGCATGTTGGAGCTAGGATACTACTTTCCAAGGTACAAAATCCTTCACAATTTCTTCCTAATTGTAATGTAATGTTGTCTTTTAGGTCTAGTAACTTAATAAAGGTTTCCACTTTCCAACTTATTTGTGGTCTTGGTTTTAGGAATTTCTTGTTCGGAAGGTGCAATCCCTGCATGACTACAAGGGTCATGCAGACAATTTTATTTGTTCTGTTATCCCTGGCTCCTCTTCTGCTCAATTCACCCCAGGTATGGTTTCCCTCTTTTTTTTTTTTCTTACTCTTAGCTGTGTGGTCTAATCTAATGTGTAACAATTACCTTTGGTTTTGGCTCTTTAAAAGGTGGTCTTCTGTTCAAAATGGGTGATAGCAACATGCAATATGTCACGTCCACCTCCTTCTTACTCTTGGCTTATGCTAAATACTTGACCAAGGCCCATATGGTAGTGAACTGTGGTGGAACCACTGTAACTCCAAAGAGGCTCCGAACTATAGCCAAAAAACAGGTACACAGTACATTAGCATGGTGCTAATGTGCATTTTTAATGTTTTTTAATTAATCTTGAATTTTCTTTTTTAGGTGGACTATTTGCTAGGAGACAACCCCTTGAAGATGTCCTATATGGTGGGGTATGGTCCACGTTACCCACGAAGGATACACCACAGGGGCTCATCGCTGCCGTCCATTGGTGTTCACCCTGGGAAAATCCAATGCTCAGCGGGATTCAGCGTGATGAACTCGCAATCACCCAACCCCAACATCCTAGTGGGTGCCGTAGTTGGAGGGCCAGATCTGCATGATAGGTTCCCAGATGAACGGTCAGATTATGAGCAATCAGAACCTGCGACTTATATTAACGCTCCTCTCGTGGGCGCGCTTGCATATCTCGCACACTCGTTTGGCCAACTCTAGGGAACTGTGTGCGTGCATCTCTTGTTTTTAATTATATGAAATAGTTAGTTTTAAGCGGATTGGCTAGTTTTATTTCCTTGGAATTGCACAAGGTAAGGGAGGTGAAACCCCTAACCTTGAACCACTTTGTTCAAGCCAAAATAGATATAGCCTTGTTTATTTATTTTCCACCTTGTTTGTGTTGAACGCATGATTTTAGTGGAAGAAGGTTTATGTTTTTATTTGGTCCATTTGGTACTGTCGATATACAAGAACTTAGGATGCGAATGTGAGAATTTACATTGAGAGGCCAAATAGAATGAATAATAATTGAGTCAAAATTTTATCCTTGAAACTCGGAGGATCCAGAGATAGAGGCAGGGTATAATTTACAGAGGACCTAATCCTTGAAAGTTGGAAATAATCTATTAATACTAGCCTACCACTTTGAGAGAGGATATATAATACTGCGTGGTGTCAGTGTTTAATCCGAGAAGAGTTATTCTATTTATAACAAATAATTTATACAAATCAGTTAGATGTAGATAATAAGGAAGATAGATAAAATAAGTGCTATGATAAATATATAAAAAAAAATTATGGTAAAAATAAGGGTGTGTATGAAAATCGGCTAAATTACTCAATTGGTCTTTAGAATATAGGCTTCAGTTTTACAAAGTCGGTTTCTAAAGGAAAAATTATATTTTATTTATATATTTTTTTAATTATACACTTTCTTATGTTTAACATTAGTAAACTTATATAGAAATAAATGATAAATGACTTTTTTAATAAGTGGTAGGTAACTTTTTTTTTTAATAATATAGAATAAGTGAGATTTGAATTTTTTTAATGATTGAGATTGAAAAAAACTACGCCCATAAATTTTTATTTTTTTTATTAAAAAATATTTTTGGTTAAATGTAATTTTAAATTAGTATCTAAAAATCCACCAAATCCAAATCCATGAGAGAGTTGTAATATTTTAGTGGGTTGAAAGCGAGAGAGGAAGAAAAAAGGTTTTGGGTAAAGGGTGAAAAAAGCTGGGTGAGTTGTGAGTAGTGTCAGATGTGTAATAAGAATTGGCCTCAGACCCCAAAGACGGAAAGACATTCTTCAGTCTGACAGATGTAAATGATAAACTCATACATAAATGCTTCTATGTATGCTTCCGGCCGTTTCTCCACTATACCCTCACTAGTTACCACTTAGTATTTTCGGACAAATATTTTTCAATAAATAAATATTAACTCAAAAGTTCTTAATATATAATATTTTATTATACATATTTAAATTCATATATAATATATTTTATAATTATATATTAATGTAAATTTACATAATAAAATATTAAATAATTTTATATTTTATAAAAAGTTGTATATTTATTTATTAAATTTTTTTAATTCATTAATTAGACCATTAAAATTTGATAAAATAAATCTATTAAGAATTCCTTTTAGTGAATCTATTTCTTTTTTGATATAAAAGATATATATATATATATATATATATATATATATATATATATTACTTTAATCATTTTGATACGGAACAAAAGTGAAGTTTTTTAAAATTAAAGAAAAAAAAGTAATCACTTTTAAATTTGATTGGATAAAAACAACTAGAACCAGATTTAAAGAAAAAAGCTAGTCAGAGTTATAAATTAATTTTTAATTATTAAACATATTTGACAACCGTATTTAAATTCATCTCAATGTCATGTTATATTTTGTAAACCAATTCTTATATATTAAATATTAATCTTATTGTACGAGAATTTTTAAAAACTTTCTATCTACAATTTTTTTTAAGAAAAAAATAATTACTATCAAATTCAATTTTTATTTATTACAATTATTTATAAATTAAATTTTAATATTTTAAAATAATTACAATAAATAAAACTAATACTGTGATATGATTTAAATCATTTATCATAAATTTATAATGTAATCTATATATTGAAAGTATTTATTTATAAAATTTTAAATATAATTTATATATTAATGTTTATTTATATATATAATTTATTATAAATTCTAATTACATATATTAAATATTAAATATTAGTCTGTACATTTTAGATACTAAAATACTAGTTATATATTTAAAATAAAATATTTTATTGATTAAAACAAAACGCAGACAGACTAAAACAAAAAATTTATTTGCGTAAAAATCAAAACAAGTATTTTTAAATAAATAAGTACTAAAACGTAAAGATTAGGCAAACACTAATATAAGAAGTAAAAACTAAAAACGTAGACAGTCTAAAGTCTACACACATCAACGTCACATAAATTGAGTATTTATATAAAAAAACGAAAACGTAACAATTTGTGATGTAATAGCAGATAAGTAATTAAACCTCTACTTTTAGTAGCCACAAGATTCATCATTCTTTATTCTGATTCATATATAAGGATAACAATCCTTCCAGGTTATTTCCAGGTCTAGATTGTTGACAACTGTTAATCAAACGAAAATAAGAGTCATCCAAATTCAACAACCATTGCCCACCAAGTCGAAGTTAACGTAGACAAGTTTTCACCAAACTCTTCTAGGTCGCATCACAAACACCAGAAGCAGACTTATATTACATATATGACCCTTATTGTGCCTGCTGTCAAGCCATGCTGAAAATATATAGATGAGTTAACTTGCATCATCCTTTGCTAGCGGAACAGAATTTGCCTGCCAAAATAGTTGTAGAGCACAAAAGTTAATGCTATAAAATAAGGCACAGACTAGACCAACCCTTTTCATTAGAACTAAGAAAGCATATATAGATTATAAAGTTCGTAATACTGCATGAACAAAATGTCTCGTGACTCACCAAATCGCGGAACTTTAGGATATAGAACATCTCGAGATATCGTCGAGTTTCACGCCTCTCTAACTTGGAAACATATTTCCAGAAGCTATAAACTCCCGCCAAGGTCATAAGCCTTTCGGAATAAATCTTCCATGTGTACCTGTTCATATTTTGATTAGGATTCAGTGTGTCACGAGAAAAACAACCAAGTTTTGACATTACTTACCTTTCATAAATTCTTTGAAGACCACCATCAGATATTTTCTTCCAATGGTCTGGATCCTCCTTGCAGTTTTGGAAGAATTCAACCAATAGCTCTGAAGCTTGATCAGGGTGATAAGGATCAATGTGGAATCCTGATATGCCATGCTCAATGATCTCGGCAGGACCACCATGGCAAGTAGCAAATGTGGGGAGTCCACAAGTCATGGCCTCCACAACTGTGAGTCCAAAAGCTTCATAAAAAGCAGGCTGCAAAGCAAGAGAGAAGTTAAAACTTACAAATGATGAATGAGCAATTCAATCAAATAGCAGAGAGTATAATTTTAATACCTGAATGAAAGCACCTTGTGTATCTGCTATGTATCGATACAGCTCCCCGTTACGTGCCCTATTTGTTTGGGCAGCGATCCAACGAAAATCACCATCTAAATTGTACTTCTTCACAAGATCATGCATCTTCTCAATTTCTGAGATTTCTTCTCTGTCGCTGGACTTATTTACATCAATATAACCAGCTACTACAACAAGGTTGACCAGTTCCCTCAACTTGGCGTTCTTACCATAGCATTCTACTAATCCAGATATGTTTTTAACTCTGTCTAGCCTTGCCATGGAGAAAATTATGGGCTTTGACTTGTCATTCAGTGTACCACTGCCACATAGAGACAAAGATAAACTCGTTAACTGTCAAGGTTTCATTCAAATCCAACAAACGTGGCATGCTTCTTAACAGTTCATACAAACAGCTTTAGATATTCTATCCTTTATCAGGAATAAGCATGTGGAGGTCTAGTTGGGTTTTAAAATCAGGCATCATTGTATCAGAACTGAAGGACAAGTGATGACTTGAAAGTGGAGGCTGATAGACCTTACTTGTAAGTTTTGCATGATGCATAACAGACGACTAAGTCAATTTTCATTCATATTGACCCCTTTAGAGCATGGATGATAAGGTAGAATTATTAAATTAATCAAAAGATCAATTACTTAAGGAGATAATGTTGATATGTTGGTATAAATAACCAAAATTTCTAAGTTTCCCAATTGAAATAGACTTACATGTAATCATCAGTCTGGGTGGTATCATATAATAGCTGTTCAATTGAACCATGCAAGGCTGTAAGCCTGTTCTGCTTTTCAGAGTAGGGGAAATAAATTGACATATCTGCTCCAGGAGAGACAATATTGAACTTGGGATCAAAAACATCAATGCCATGGACAACCCTATAGAGTCCAGGAAGAGTAAAACCAGTGTGGCTCTCATACTGCCCAACAGTATTTTTCCTGAAGATAAGAAAATGAAATGAGTAGCATTAGCATAACTCAAAACCAAAAGTACTGGTTCCAATAACAGTTAAAATAATCATGGAGATGTGACATTTGGGAGCATAAATTGTTAAGCGAAAGGCAATCATTCGTATAATTTTATCTGAAATAAATAGTCTGGAGCTTGTAAAAGCAGCGAATGAATTAAGTTATATAATTGATAATAATAACAAGCCAAATATTATAAAGGGGAGAAGGGTATAAAGCAGTATCACAAGAATTAACATTGTCACAAATCATGAAGTAAACCATATATCTGAAAAAAATACTTACGTTCCTGCAATCTCTTGGTAAGTACTGGTGATGATAAAATCAGCATTATTCATGGCTATTAGGTCAGCAGTGAACTGGCATGAAAAATGGTATTTATCCTCAAATTTCTTCCAGTATAGATCTGAATCTGGATATTTCGTCTTCTCAAGTGCATGGGCAATGGTGCACTATATTCAAGAACATTCAAATCAGTTTTAAGTTGCATTCTCAGCAGTAAATAATAATATAACATGAGCTTTCGCCTTTCATAAGGCAAAGATGATAAACAAGAGGGACAAGAACCTGTGTAACTCCCATTTTATAAGCTAATAAAGATGCAACAAGATTTCCATCACTGTAGTTTCCAATGATGAAATCAGGATAACCTTGTAACTCAGCAGCAATTTCACTGGCAACATCCTGTTGACGTACAAAACCCATCAATATTAAATGGACATGCAAGCACCATGCAGTATATATTCTCGATTACTAGACCCTAACAAATCTGAACTAAGCTAAGAACTTGTTTAAATCTTAATAATTGTTCATGATCAAGTGAACAATTCAAGCAATATGTAGACATTTACCTCAGCATAAGTCTCTAGATATGGCCACACATCAA